GATTGCGTTTATCCGGCACTGTGGGCGTACTTTGGGGTTGGACGCTGGCATTGGATGTCCATAAGCGATTGTACGACGGAGATTCGTCCTCATCCATATGGTTGTCCTCGTACTCAAAGTTAGCCATGGGATTGTAGAGGCGGCGCTGCCGGGCTACAAGGCCCAAAAACTTTTGTAGACGTATCTTCAGCTCACTATCGAACTCGACTGCCTCATCAGTCGTTGGCTCGCTCGTAACAATAGCAACTGATCGACTCAGATCCAAATAGATGAACGCATCCGATTCAAGCAATGAGCTGGCATTGCTGCTGCAGAAGCTGTTGCGCGTGGAGATGCGTCGCTGTTTGCGCGTTGGCTCACTGTGATTATCTTGAACATATTCTTCATCGTCATCGTCGTCGTCATCCTCGAGCTCATTATCGCCAAAATCAGGATCATCGGAATCATCTGAATCCACTTCCTGCGGCTCCGAAGAATAATCAAACTTGTTATCAATCCTTGCGCGGACAGCTCGTCCGCTGCGCGTTGTCGTTATACTGCGTTTCAGCACAGGCGACGCATTCACATCTGCGCCCAGATTAGGTGCATTCAATGGTCCAGCTGGAAAAATAAACCATATTATCAAATTTATGAGTTAAGATCACGATTACTTACATTTACTCTCCTTCTTGTTGAGGTAGTCGTCGTGCTTGCGTTTAATAGGCTTGCTTACAAAATTATCCATAATGCAAGAATCTTCTGCAACAATTAATTTTAATTTTGAGTTTGATTTTGATTTTGAGTTTGATTTTGACATTAGGCCATGTTACAACTTACTAGTGCCATTGATATTGCTGTCACTTTCTGTTTCTGGTATGGTTTCTGTCTCCGAATATTCCCACTGATCTACCTCTAATACTGATTCAGTTGATGATGCGTTAGTATCTGATGACCAAAATATGCTCACATCTGACGAGGCACTTGAGGAATCAACAACAATCACGTCCGAGCTCATATCCATGTCGTCACTGTTGTCCATTTCACCTGCTGTTTGGGGCGTTCTGCACGGAAGATCGTCGTGAGTGTCGTTTGGCACTGATGGCTGTAGTTTGAATAGTTTTGTTTATGTATCATCACACAACACATTGCGTTTGTTTGACCAATACTAACCGTGTTCGAGCCATTTTTGGTGTCGGCAAGGTTTCTTTCGCTATCGAGGCTCAAACTTTGCAATGCCTCCAAAATATTATTGTAATTCGGTATCTTGTCAGACATTTTTATTTCATTTTCCGTTGTCTCTTGTCGAATATGCCGGCATAAGTTAACAGAAGAGACGATAGTGCTGCCAGACTGTTGCGATTCGCTCGTGACTATTCTGTGTACTGATTATAGTTTGCTGTTATCGAAAATTTTGCTTCGCTAATCAATGTTTACCAGCTCTAGAAATTTGTTAGTCAAAACGCCGGAGAATAGACGGTCTCTGGTAAAATTCTATTGATAAGATTATTTAACAATACATCAAGATGGGGCGACGCTCCATAAATACCACTAAAAGTGGCAAATATATGAATCCAACAGACCAAGCCCGTAAGTACCACCTACCTAGAGTACACACATACATATGTATGCTAACCCTCGTGCCCACACAGGCAAGGAAGCGCGGAAAAAGGAGCTTAAGAAGAATAAGCGACAGCGCCAAATGGTTCGAGCTGCGGTGCTTAAGAACAAGGATCCATCACAGATACTTGAGGAGATGGAGAAGATAGACGAGATGGGTAAGTGGGATTACGTTGCCAATAATAAGCAGGCTACTTACTGAATTCTATATGCTCTGTGTCCACATGCAGAGTACAACGTGCTGCAGCCGTCGCCTCTTAATGAAAAGGTTCTGCGTGATAAGCGCAAGAAGCTTAAGGAAACCTTCGATCGCGTTATGCGACTCTATGTAAGTACATTATAAAAAAAATTAAATTATACGTATATCACCATATACTAGGAAACTCTCTACCTAGCATAACGATGAGCCAGAACACTGGGCGGAACTGAAGCGCAAGGAGGTAGAATACGAGAAGAAACGACTGAAAAAGCAACAATATTATGAAAGCGTTAAGCATGCCCAAAGCGTGCAAGTCGATGAAATTCCACTGCCGGCGCCAGTGACAGCAGCCAATGCCAGTGGAACCGGCGCGAGCACAGGGAACAATAATAACATCATCTTTCCAGGTGGTTCAGGTGGTATTCGCATGCCACCGCCCCCTATGACGTTAGCCCTACCGCCTTTTGCCCCTGGTGCACCGCCGGGTGTGGCTAAGAACAATGAAGCTTCCGACTTGCATTCGGACAAATCCAAAGACGACGACGAAAAGGAATGGCTGGGTGTACCGGCAGGGCCGCCGCCAGATCTGTTTGCCATGCCGGAGCTCGACTCGGATGCAGAAGGCAACACCGACTACGAGGGCGATGAAGAAGAAGCGGCCACCAGCCACCAGAACATCGACGACTTCATGAAGGAAATGGAGCATGTGCACAAGAGGAAGCATCGCAAGCTGCATAGCGACGAGGAGCACGAAAGGGAACCAGCCGACAAAGACGACAAGCGGGACAGCGCTTCAGAGAGTAAATCTCCGCCATCCCGGCGGCGTTTAGCCAGCAGTCACAGCAGCAGCAGCAGCTCAAGCAGTGACGACGACGATGACGACGAAGATGCGGATGAGAATGTCGGCTCTGATGCCGATGCCAAGCAGCCCGCCAAAGAGACAGTTAAGCCAGTAGCAGCCGCTGCGACGTCAGTGCCAGCACCGCCTACGGCGCCTTCATTGCCTGCTATCCCACTGCCGCCCAGTGCGCCGGCGCTGCCACAGCTGCCGCAGTTGCCGCATATGCGCAACATCGCGCCGCCGCCAGGCATCATGTTCCGGCCGCCCCCTATGCGGCCACCTGGGCCGGGTCTGCCCGGCTTTGGGTTGCGCATGCCACCGGGGCCGCCGCCAGGCACACGGCCGCCGCACGCTCTGGGCCCGATGCCGCGCATGGGCATACGCATGCCGCCGGGTCCGCCGCCCGGCTTGCCGCCGCGCATGAGTGGCCATCATGGGAAGCATGGCAACGCCAATGCGCCGCCAAACAAAGAGCCTGGCAAAGGTGTCACCATCATCACGGCTAAGCCCCAAATCAGGTATGTTCTCCCACTTGTGAATCTGGGCCCTCCTCAAGTTCTAATTGTGTGCTCTGTGTGCTTTGCAGGAATCTGAGCGCCGATGTCACACGATTTGTGCCGTCCACGTTGCGGGTGAAGCGCGACGATCAGCGCCGAACCGCCCGAGGCAAGCAGCAATCGGGCGTCCACGAGGTCGGTGATCGCGGTGCTCACGCCCCGCCCGAGGCCCACAAGCCGCCTACCAAGGACGACGCCTACCTGCAGTTCATGAACGAGATGCAGGGCCTGCTGTAGCACGGCAGCCACCTGCTCCCGATGGCCAGCCTAACTGATTGTACATTGAATGCCTAGTTTAATTTTGCTAGTTAAGCGTACGCTAAGAAAAAACACGTAAACGGGAAAAGTCTGCACCCGAGAAACTCGCAAGGGAATAACAAACATGATAATGCTCAAATTGAGGCATATATATTTATATTCAAAACAAAAACAAGTAGTTTATAGTCCATTTCTAGCGAGAGAGTAATAAACTTAATTAGTTCAAGCGGAAACTTTATTGACTTCAGATTGAACATATTTCAGTGTATGTGTGTGTGTGTGTGTGTGTGTGTGTGTGTGTTTTGATTTATGTTAACTGGAAGCCTTTCCACATCTGGAGTATTTCGTCTTTTATTCATGAGTTTAATTCAAACAATATCCAATTCACCTATCAGATCTTCAACAACTTTAACAATCGACTCTCATTTGTTGTCGAATGATAATCATAATAAAAAAAAAACTATTTACATTTTCATTGGGTGTCATATATAAATATATTTCCGGCAAGTGCTCCGAGAACTTTATTGACTGCAGTCATCACTTATTTCGTTGTTGTTGCCTTTCTTGTTGTTGCCGCTGACTTCTTCTTGGCGAAGGGGCGCAGCTCCATCAGGTCGCACTTCAGTGAGCGAATGCTGCGGCGCAGCGAGTTGGAGACTTTTTTGGTGTAGCTGGTGCTGTTGCTGCACATGGAGAGCTTGTCGTCGCTGACCACCTGGATGCTGGCGCTCGGCTCGTGCAGTGGACGCAGTACATCCTCCTTGGCATCGGCCTCGTTGGACACATCGCTGCACGTGTTCAGATATTTGCGATTAAAGTGCAACAGCGGCGTGCCCCACTTGCGCTCCAGCTCCAGGCTGGCGCCGCTCTCGGACGCCTCGCCATCCGGTGTTACCGGCGCACCTGTCGTACTGGCCACCTCGCCGATCGCCTCCTTGTAGGTGCGCGTGATGATCATGCTGGGCGGCACGCTCTTCCCATTGACGCCGGCAATCTTCGGCGGCTGATAGTTCAGCGGCTGGGGCAGACTCTGTCGCATGGGCTTGGAGTGGCGCGGCGACTTCACCACCATGACAGTCACCCGATAATGGAGCAACTGTTGGGTGACAAAGCTGGTCATTAGACACCCCTATGTGGCATTTTATTCGAGTGGATTCATTCTCACCTTGTCGTCGTCGACGAAGCGCGACAGCTCGTTGAGGCCAATGCTGACGCAGGTGCCCTCCTGCAGAATGTCCTTGTCGTACTCGCTGTGCACGGGAAACTTCTGGGTCAGGGAGAGCGCCTCGTTGTTAGGCTGCAGCAGAGTCACCTCGTAGGCATAGTTGTACTTGCTCTCGCGCCGATTCGAGGTGCAGGTCATGGTGAACAGGATGCGCTCCTTGTCGTAGATCTCGTAGAAGTTGAACATCTCGTCGTATGTCTGGAACACATAGTAGCCCGTCAGTGGCCGAATCTGCTTGGCCATGTTCCACACCAGATCCGCGCTCGCTGCACAGAACAGCTTCGACTTGTGCTGCTCCTCCAGGTGCTGCTTCCACTGCACCTCCCTGCCGTGCCACTTGCAGTCGCCCCACACGCGCCCCATGAAGCACTTCATCGGCTTATAGATGCACTGCTGCTCGTGCCACGGCAGCAGCGCCACCGGCATCCGGACCACACATCCGCCCGCCGCGAAACTGCATCCGAAGTGCGCCTTGGCGCACAGCGCCTCGATTGTCAGCGAGCGCAATGTGGTGAATCCCTCCTGCGAAATGAATCAAATTCAAATATTTCGATATCAGCAAAGTCATCTGAATGGAGATTTACATATATACATACATATGTATGTATGTACATAAGGTGTAGCTATACTAAAGGACGGACATAAATGTATACATATGTACATTCATATATGAATGTATGTATGTATGTATGTAGACGAATAATCATAGACACATACATGCATATTTACATACATACATACATGGATACATATATACATACATATGTATGCATGTATATAAATACGAGCTAATACATACTAACACATATGTACATACATATGTACAAACTAACATACATGCATGAGCATATATGTATGTATGTGTACCTACATATAAACATTAAAGAGAGTGAGAGATGTAGAGAGAGAGTGAGAGATATGTGTGACTGAGTGAGAGAGAGAGAGGAGACAAAGAATGAATAAGAGAGTGAGGGACTGAGAGAGAAAGAGTAAGAGAGTGAGTGACTGAGAAAGAGGAGAGAGACAGAGAGAGAGGAGACATAAAGAATGAATAAGAGAGTGAGTGACTGAGAGAGAAAGAGTAAGAGAGTGAGTGACTGAGAAAGAGGAGAGAGAAAGAGAGAGAGAGAGAGAGAGAGAGAGAGAGATAGAGAGAAGACATGGAGAATGAATAAGAGAGTGAGTGACTGAGTTAGAAAGAGTACAAAAGTGAGTGAGAGAGAGAGAGAGAGAGTGAAAGATTTACATGGAACAAAATAGGAAATAGAGGAAATCCAGCTCGGATTGAATAGGAGGCAGGACAATGGTGCCGAAGTGCTCTAAGAGCGCACACATGGAAATATCTAAACATGGCAGATATTACTCGTGCAGTCCACCAATATAGAAGTTATTAAAAAACTTGGGTTACAGATGCAAATTCTTGATGATATTCGCAGAGCGTTATCACGACTTTCAATTTTATGTATGCACTTAAGATCAACGGAGCTTAATGATAACTCGAAACTAAAATACATTTGTAGTCTGTTATCAGATATGGTGGGTTCCATATCATATAGCAAAGATACCGAATTCGAGTGATAACACGCCAATGAAAACAGTTGAAGAAAAATAATATTTCTTTCTGCATTAAAGAATATATGTGTATATCAAATATAAAGTAACTTTAACTTTATATAAATATTTATATATTGAAATTTATATGTTTTCCATTCGCTCTCAAAGGAAAAGCTACCGCTCGAAGCAGACGTTATTGACACACTATTTATACATGTATTGTTCTACCGGTACTGTCACGCCCTGCTCCAGCTGAAGCCAAAATAAACCTTGAATATGTGTACTTCAAGTCTGACAACATATATTACTGTAGATTACTCTCATTTGGCTAGACAATTATTTGTAAAGAAACGTATTTAGAAACATCTGTGTATACATTACACTTGAGTGCTTGAGAAATTTATGGTAGGTTTAGTGCTTTCTTATCTATATATAGCTCTTGGCTGGCTATAAACGTGAATTGTAAATAATTTATCATCAAGTCTGAAGTTTGCACCCATTGGAAATGGATATTCAAGGTACGACCGTATTCAGGGAATAATATTTATGGGAGAAATTTTACAATCAGAAGGCGTGGCAGTACCCATATTACACATATTATACATATATTGACTAGTCAGTTATATCTGCCTGTTTTATATATGTATTAACAGTATACTTATATTATATATGTACATATATTACAAAAGCTCGTATATATGTAGATACATATGTATGTATATCCAGTAGAATATGGCAAAGACACACATCTGGACACGCTCTCAAATAATATTAGGCTTAACTCATCTATAAGAAAATATATTTTATACTAAATTTCCCATAGTAAGACCCATACTGCAGTCGCTACGCAAGGTTGCCAAACTTTAAATAAGATTCTTTGGAATGGTTGCTCTTCGCAAAGTTCAGGGTGATCTCTAATTCGGGCACTCCCGACTCGTTCACAATAGAGTAATCTCCAAGAGCTTTGAGCTTTTCGAATGATCTTTCATTTTGATCACATATCAATCAATCAAGTGTAAATTGCGCAAAATGATTCACGATCACTTTGGTCTCTATGATATCGCTTCCATATATTTGATTACAATTGGAGCCCTGAATATGGGGTTTCACTGTGCCAATGGGCAGCGAAACGTCATACAAGCAGATGAGCGATAAGCAGGCAATGCCGCGATGGGCGCTGTGAAGTGCTTTGATATCGCTTACCTAACGCTGACGTCAACCCCATAAGATGGGAGCTCGCTCTATGCAAACACACACACACACACACACATTGTCAGTATCTGTAGCATGATATCCATGTAGGTGCGGCTGGCTGGTTGGATATACATACCTTGCACAGCGGACACATCAGACGAATGCGGGTGCACTGCTCGCACACGCTGTGCCCGCTCTTGCAGAGCAGCACGGGCGCCTTCATCGGACTGGCGCAGCCGGGACAGCGCAGCTCCTCGATGAGGCTCTCATAGTGCTTGCTGGAGATGGTAGCTGGTGGCGTTGGTTGCTCGACTGATGACTTTGTTGTTGTTGTTGTTGCTGGAGTTGAGTCAATTGCTTGTGTTGCTGCTGCTGCAGGTGTTGCTGCTGCTGCAGGAGTTGCTGTTGCTGCAGGAGTTGCTGCTGCTGCAGGAGTTGCTGCTGCTGCAGGAGTTGCTGCTGCTGCAGAAATTGCTGCTGCTGCAGGAGTTGCTGCTGCTGCAGGAGTTGCTGCTGCTGCAGGAGTTGCTGCTGCTGCAGAAATTGCTGCTGCTGCAGGAGTTGCTGCTGCTGCAGGAGTTGCTGCTGCTGCAGGAGTTGCTGCT